TAACCCTCTGCGCCACCTCATAGCCTGCCCACCTCGTTGTTTCTTCCATCCTGGACCGATGTCTGCGAATAGTGCACGGTGTGGCGGACTTTGCTCAGGTATTCGTGGGACGTGCCTAGCCACCAAAGACGATGCTGTGAATTTATTTTGCTCAAAGGAAGACTATATGATCCTAGCACCCGTCGCCTGACCTCACGGTTATTCACACGATGATCCCACCATATGCAGGTGATGTTGCGCAGACGTTTGTCGAATACGGATAGTTGTTGGACGTGATCTACTCGGAGACCAGGTTTCGTAGCCATAGAGCAACACGGTACGTACCGTTGCGCAACACACACGCCATTTCAGTGGAAGGGATATGTCGCGCCGGCGCCAGATGCCGCAGATTAGCAAACGGTAATCTAGCTTTGATCACGCGTTGAGAGATCTCGCCCACACCTCCGCCTGCCGTTATGCAACTCCCGAGGTAGACAAAGCTTTCTACTAATCCCAGAGTGTCATTACCCAACGAAAGTCCAGGAACGGGTTCCTGCCAATCTTGCATCAACACTTTGCACTTTGAAGGTGCAAAGGACATACCATAACGAGTAACCTCAATTGCCAAACGTTTCACCGACTGTCGAATCGTTGGTGCGTTGTCACCGATTAAGGCAACATCATCGGCATACTCCAAGTCTACGACTCTGTCTCCAGGAAGAAGCTCGACGCCAGTGTTCGTTACTTTATGTAACGCGTTTTGTAGAGCATCATCTATGGTACAGTTGAAGAGAAACGGAGAGGTAAGGCAACCATTTTGTACCCCACTGGTGACAGGAAATGAAGGAGAGTTCACTATTTGCCCTAACCTTCCCCGAGGTCGCCTTCAGCGCCTTTAGGAGTAAAACATGTTTCTCATGTACTCTGCATCTCCGTAAACAGTGCGGGGCGATCGATAGTGTCGAAGGCCGCTCTGATGTTCGAAAACACGACAATAGTTTGCCGTCTGTATGCGTGGCGGTGTTCTAGTAGCTGACGGAGGGTGACGATTTGATCTATGCAACCATGGCGTGTACGAAACCCGGCCTGCTTTTCGCGGATTCGCTTTTCACGAAATGGGTTTAATCAGCGTCATAAAATGGACGCCAGCAGCTTCGGCGCTATTGGAATCAGACTTATGCCCCTGTGGTTGGAACAGGCGTTGCGACAACCCTTCTGGTAGATGGATGTAATTATCGATTCTCCCCATGTATTGGGTACAATTTGGGTTTCCCAGATCTTCAAGAACAGTCTCACAAGCTCTTTCACGAGAGCTTCTCCACCATCCTTAATAAGGGTACACTTGACAAGATACTTACCAATGATACTCGGGTCCAGTGAGAGTTAGCAGTATTTCAATTGAATGGAAATATCAAATTTCATTCACTAGCGAATAGAAATCATATTTTTTTGCTGCAATTCCCAGAATGACCATTACATTCTATCCACATTTTATGCCAACGGTAACAGGCTGCCATCTGCAGTTCTCCCTTCGCTCGTTAGCTTCTTCACATAGGCTCTTATCCCTATTGCATCATTGATCAACCGGTCGCATCGGTTCACAGCCTGATTACATCTGTGCGATCCTTATAGTTTAGTGAAAGAGATAAGTGGTGACAAGAATGAGTACAGTTATCTATGATCCTACAAACTCTGTACCGGGTGCTCCATGGGGTATTAAGCAGAGGTAGGTTAGGTATTCTACCCACCATTTCCTCTATTGACGGATTCATGAATCATCCGGGAAATATGTTACAAAGTGGCACTTGTCATGCTACTGAATGTCGAATAAGAGAAAAGGTTCAGTGGCAGCGCAGATACCACTTTACGACATATTTCCTGGATGGCTGGTACCACGAGCGACTGTCTAAACGAGCTATCCATTGTAACGGTGAAAAGTAGTGATGTTTGTTCTTCTATGAACTGAACTGAATAAGGTGATTGAAAACACAAGCCTTTTCACATTATTAATCAACTCTACCGTAGTTGCTGGCGTATTCTTTAACATATTTTTTCCAGTCGACCTTCCGAACCAGACGCACAGGGGACTCGGGAAATGAATGAATGAACCTGTGAGTTGCGATCATCCATTATCATTTGACACCGTTTCATCGAGTAAATGTGTACATGGATTGTAGCAGAAGTTTCTTCTGAACAATGTTTCCCATTTACTGAAATATCTGGTCTCGAACGGACAGATCATCAGGTAGTGTCATATCAGCCACTGAATAGTATCAGCGGATCTGGAATGTTGTGTTTAAATTTTTCAGATTTATTTTCAACTCAAGTTAAGTGCATGCTTTATGCACCTCGTAATTCCGATTTATTTCACTAACCACCTTGAAAATGTGTAAGCAACTTTTCAACCATGGTAGGTAGCTCATTGGCTAATCGAGATGTAAGGTAAAATGATCAATACAAAAATGAGGTTTCGAATACTGAGGTGCATTGGAACATGGTGCTATACGAGGGTGGTGAATGGATTGTGTAAGGGGAAAACTATTTTTCATATAATTATCAGGTGAGTAAACTTATCTACCAACAATTGCCGTATTTTCGAACAACAAACCTAAATTGCCAATGCTACCCATTATTGTAGCAGCAGTTACTTATTAATGAACCAACAGACTATTGTTCCCACCACAAATATCTTTGACTGTTATTGTTTCCAGTCCATTCTTGTATACAGACTAGATGTTGCGTCATCCCAGTTATTAGATCGTACCAACGGATGTCCATAAAGCACAATCAACTATATTGGATTGTTCATTCAGATAAGGAAACCATATTTTCTAAGATTTCACTTACACAATCTGGATGAGAAATCCGTCGACCTTATGTGGTCTCATCGAGGTGGCAACCGCGAGCTTTATGAGAATACCACTGTAACACCGTCGTTTTNTTTTTAAGGATGAAACTCGAAGCGGAATACGATAAAGAAGTTCCCATCCCTACCACCAGCAAATACTTCGATAGAAAACTGACTACAATCAAAATTATTCATGAAATCCCAGTAACGATGATCTTAATGGATAATAGCCCTCGAAAACCTCAGGATGGCAGCACGTGTGTCTCGGGTTGCGGCTGGTCACCCTCCCCTTGCACTCCCCGAAATGCTCCCATACGACCAAGCGTTTGAAACAGCTTCTGCTAAGGAAGCTCTACTCACTGCTTTCTCATAGTGGAGGTTTTTTAACACCAAAGTACGGAAAGCCGACATCCGGGGCTATGAATGGGTCGGTGAATCACTGGTAGTTCACCTAGGGTAATTGGCTAAAATCCTTGATTCCAAACCAAACAAAAAGAGGCATACAAACCACACACAGCTTCCTGGTCGTGATAGTGGTCATCGGCTCGATTGGGTATCGATTCGTATTGAGCACCTTGGACGTTTGACCCCGACCGAACGGTGTATGATCCAATGAACTGGATACCGGCCTCCAAGGGGTTGCGGTTTGCACACTGCCCCGCTGCCTTGCAGGTCAGACTGGCTAGCCGAAGGCTCCGATTGTGAATTCCCTGAGAAAATTCACTTGTCTTGGCCTGGGCAATGGCAGCATTAAGCCCACAAGCTACTCATGGAACGTTCCTCTTTTTTTATAAAGATTATTGTACCGTGGTTTGTTTGGCACATGGTCAAGCGTCAGGCATGTGTGAGTGGGTAGCATGCTTGCATTTTGCCCGTGAGGTCCCGGGTTCGGTGCCTAGTTGAGTCGATCGATTCGCACTGCTGATGAAACACAACCAGGTCGAAACAGCTGTCCGGTCGATCCTGGCTTTTCAGTTCACGCTTCATTTGCTATACACACGACGAATTTTCCCTCTGAAATATATAAATATTTATATATCTGCACCCTGGCGGTCATCCATGGTGTCAAATCACAGTATCCTTCGCGGCGGCCCACTCCATCTTCTCCGGATCTCTTCGCGCCACATCTTGCATCGCCTGTGCCCGGCCTTTGAGAAGCGACATGTGGGCCGACGACTTCCCCCGGTCCAAATGTATCCCCACTAGCTCCGCGACGTTCTCGAACTCCTCCAGTAAACTCCGCACATCCCCACCCGTGAAAGCTGCAGGTCATGGACCCTTCATTCTGGATACAGCAAAAGTTGTTATAAATCCATAAAAGAGCGCCCGAACGAGACAAGTTATTTGTTTGAAGAACAGCATCAAACAGAGGTGAATGGGGTTAAATAGAACGAAACATCTAATCTGCAACAATTGGTTGGTGATTGCCTGTTTGCCTCTTGCAGAGTTGCAAAAATAAAGCCTTTAATCCATTCGCAGATGCCGTGGAAATCCAAAGACCGATTCTTGGAGGGTGCAAACTACTCACAAATGTGAGTAGTACCTCAACAACGATAGTTATTCCGGGGTTCGCCGAAGGAAATCCAATTTATGTTACCCCGTAAGTGAATAGTCTAAATCACTGTTATCGCTTACTTTATATTCAACAGTCGCTGTCAAGCTTTTGTGTCCTTGAAGGCTAAAAATTAACGAATTGCATTCGTTCTGGGAAAACCTAGCCTCAATGGAATTCCAATCATCATGTAGCCGAGGGTGTAGGTTGAACCAGCCCATGCAACAGATCATGACCACATTCACCCTTGTTTGAAACCAACGCATTATCGAGCCAGCTTGTCACTGCACGCTCGCTAAACGACCGATCGAGGTAAATTATCGTCGGGTTGGTTCATTCCCGTCTATGAAGCTCACTCGATCAAGGGCATACCGTTTCCCGGGCTGGGGGAAGAGGACGGACGAACGGTCAGACCCCACCCCATCTCTCCGAAACATTCATCCTCGCTCGGTAATTCACTCGAAAAGTACTTTTGTTTGTTTACGGGGAAATAGGTTCATTCAAACCGGAGAGGTTTAGACAGACCCGATTCAATCGGTGACGTGTGACGGCTGAAACACCAATAATCTTGTGGGGTTCCCAGAGGAATGCGTTTGGCTGGGTTCACTTGAAGTTGAAAAGGTATAGTGCAGGAAGTTTAATTGTTCTTAACAGGTTCTTAACAGACAACTTGGAATAGTGGGTGACTCAGAAGTCACAAATGTGATGTTGACCCAAGAATAATCACTGCAAAACGCATAGGTATTTTAGTGATAAGGGTCCAATCTTACGAGGCGATTGGAGTAGGACAAAGGATATGCACAGTCAGTGTTTTTTTAATAGGGAGGAGCGAGAAAAAAGGACCCTGTGCCAAGAGTTAACTGGATTTAATTTCGTCGAACAGCGAATTTTTCAGTAATAGATGAGGCACTTGAGATAAAACAGAAATATGGTACTTACGAGGTTCACCATTGGATATTTTCATTCATTCAATTAGCTTCAGTTGATCGAAGTTTCATTCTGAAATGCATTTGACGGCAACTTTCGGTACTCAGATTGTGAACAAGTGTATTGCTTTTGCGGGCCAACACGGGATTAACCCCAAAGTTCGAGTAAATGTCGCAATCAACCTGTTCAAATAACATGTGTCCAGCCCAACACCAGAACCCCAGGAACAAGGTGGAAGTCCACATCCGGATTAGTGAATAACACTGGACTTCTCAAATTACCAGATCATATAGGGAAATCGTGAGACAAATGAGAGAAAATATCTGCTTACTCATACAACCAGATTGCAGCTTCTTCCCAGTGTTTTCGCAATTTTCGCCTCATCCGGAGCCAAATCGGAGCTGCCAATTCGTCCACCACCAGCTCTTCAACAATCAAATCCGTGGTCACTTGCCAACGACCCAACGGAGTGTCCACATCGGATTGTAACAAATCTCCCTTGGTAATGGTTGCAACGGGACGAATCATCTGAACCAGATCGGATACCAGTTCGCGACGCATACGAGTCACATAACCACCACTGGTAAGAGGTGATTCGATCGGGATGGGTGCAGACAATGGTAATGAAGTGGCCGGGTTCGCATATGAACTGCGCGGGAATAAATGCACAGCTGTTTGACGTGAGCTGAGACGCCAAATCAGGATTAAACGACCGACGTTATCTGTGCAATATGGGAGGATGGGGCAGGAGTACGAACAGGAGTCTAGTCAATTCATACCGACCAATCTGCATTATTCATTAGTACATTCACTGATTCTCAGTTCGAATGAACGCGAACGAGTGTGAAAAAGATTCCATAGAAATTCGAACAATCACAAATGCATCCGTAGTGGTCCACGATTTCGTAGGACTACCCTATTAAACATTTAGCGGACGAACGTTGACAGTATTTGAAAACTAGTACCGGAGTGTAAGTTTCAAGTGCATGACCGAAAGGAGTTACAAATTAAAGAGGTGCAAACATAATGCAGTGTGAACGCTGCTTCAGTTAGTGAGCATTCTAATCGAAAACAATTGAAGATCTTTCCGCAACCCGACAATTTTCATGTGCGTCCATAATGAGTCCTAAGCAGGAATGTTATATAGTCGGATAGATTCCACCCCGATTAGTGCGATCAAAGTATAGCTAAACTAAACAAAGTAGGGTACAAATACTCTTCCTCCAACAAAGGCATGACCGAACAGCAAATTGAATATATCAAATTTGATATAAAAATTTTACAGCTTCCAATTAAACCACGTATTTCTGGGAATAAAAAAAAACAAAAGGGGTAGTAGTTTTTTACTTGTAATCCCGAATGGATGCACACGTGCCTTGTCACTGGACTCAATAACCAAAACTATCAAACCCATCTAAATACAATTACTTTGTTATTATTATCGACATATACAGAATAAATCCCAGAAACGGCAATTCCTAGAAAAACAGGTTACTCGTCCCCAATAATAAGGTTACTGTCCAGGTCTCACATTTTTTGGAGCACAAGTGGACAATGTAAACAAATGTCGTTCTTATATTTTGTATTTGAGATATGCACGTAAAGTTTGGTTATTCAATGAATTGACGGACGATAATATACTGACATTTTGTGTTCGACGATGTGGTTGTAAGGAATGACAATAGGAAATATAACCAACGGAAGAATGCGGTGAAAAGATGAAAGATATTCGCTCCTAATTGCAAGGAAGTAAGGAACTGTTTTTTAAGTGATCACGCTTCAGATCATTTTCTTTAAATGGGCTACACCGGTTGCCTCTGAGTATATTCGGATTATCACATTATGGTATTTGTGCATCCTCACTGCATTGATTTCATTTGAAATGTCTTAGAAAATCGACGTGGGCAAGAACATGTGTGTGGTCCGCTCCAGGATAGTGGGACCCAAGGCCAAAGCGCTTAATCGCGATAGGTGTGATGGATACTTAGACCTAAAGGGCTCCCAGATTGATGCGCACAAGTACGATTGGCTTGTGAAATGCCTTTCTGCAATCTTGAATCGTCAGGATAACTCTCTGCGACCTCTGAAAGTGGTTCTTCGAGCAGAGAATGAAGTCAGGCCGATTCTCCAGTGAGCCAACAAGCCGAAGGGAGCTTCGGGAAGGTTCTTTTGGGATCTTGATCCGGATCAGTGCAGTAAACTCAAAACTCCATTGAAGGAACTCAGAGAGCACCGTGCACAGGGTGAGACCGATCTTTGCCTATGGGATCTTCGGGTACATCTGAAGCACCCTCAGCTGTGCTAGATACCTCTTAACGGGGAACGATGAAAGAATCGGTTCGAGGCATGGATGATGGGGTAACCACGTTTTGTTAGCTTTGCTCAACATCCGAGGAGTACTAGGCAAAAGGGATGAACTGGAATACTGGGTTATATCAAACAAACCCAATCTCTTTGCAATCACTGAGACCTAGCTGACACCGCATGTTAGGGATTGCGAAATATCATTCCACGGTTATACAGTGCTTCGAACGGATCGATCATCATCATGTCAACGTGGTGGAGTTGTGCTTTTCGTTTGTCTGGGAATCTCTATTCGATTGCTGGAGATCTACGCTCATTCGGAAGGTTTTGATGAAGCACTGTGGTGCAGAATCAAACTTTGTACTGGAGGATACACTACAGTAGGACTGATCTACGGAACACCGGCGGCGTACGTCCCAGAACTGCTGGCCAGCATGCAAAGGCACGCCTGAGTTGGGCATTGTCTTGTCTTGGGCGATTTCAATGTGCCACATGTTTACTGGGGAACTGACGTCTGCCCTCAGCAGACGGATTTGTTTTCCAGAGAGCTTCATTTCATTGTCCATGCTCTCTCGCTTGTTCCGTACATCCGTGAACCCGCCCGGATAGTTTGTGAACAGAAATCCATCCTTGAATTGGTATTCTCTCTGAGGTGATGAGATGCCACCAAGATTAACCTCCTCCCACCGATTGCATCTATACCATGTTAAGTTGGGCGTGAGAAAATATAATTTTGATTTGCGAAGCCGTCTTTTTGAATTGAGAAATCATCACTTTGACTTGAGAAAGAAACGCTGTGGTTGGATCCGTTTCCGTCTAGCGCATCTCATTGGTCAATTGATCACACGTTTTCTTCTGCCCGCAGATTGACCACCTGTCTTCCCACGCCCTTTCTGTGTTGAAATGTGGCAGACCTCAGTCGTGCATCTTATCGAGCTCTGTGACGGACGTCAAATCGGGGAGTCGGGGAAGCCATGCCATTTGGGTGTGAAAACCAAGCTGGATGCCACTCGGTATGCATGAAAGGTGACGCACTATTTCGGGCGCATTACAGCTAAAGTACAACTGCTCGTATTTGCTCTAACATTGACGATAGCTCAATAACCAAAGCTGATCATAGTAACTACGACCAGGGACCAGTTTTGTGCTTACGGTGCAGTCCGAGAGATGTACTTTTCAGTACGAGTATCATGGATCTATTCGAATAACACTATTTGTTCAGTGAGAGAGGTTGGAGTTCTTGAGGTGAACTTGGGTGAATGGGCTGGCTGTCATCAATGATCTAGCAGCCAAAACCAGCTACACCTTAAGTGTAGCTCACTCATTTCTGGCTCAGCCCACAGAACGCAGTCGATCCGATACACTTTTCATTACATGGGTCTTGCGTGATCAAAGTATTCGCTCGGACATTGTTGATCCCTCGGTCATCAAAGCTTACGATAAGAAGAGACCTATGCGGATGTGGTATAAAGTATTTTTTCCCCACTTCCATTTACTTTTCCATCACGTTCGAGGCCGGTACAACTGTGCTGACAGCGCTGTGCGCAAGCGAATTGTTCAGGCTTTCGAAGAGGAAGAGGACTGACGTGTTGTTGCGAGACAAAATGGAGTGAAGTATAATACCGTTTACAACTGGATTGAGGCCAAGGAACTGCAGTACGCACATCAACCGAAAGGCTGACGAAGAAGAAGGGCTTTAAATGACACGGAGATCGACGAAATGATCACCTAACTGGAAGAAGATCCCCCAATCACATTGCAGTTGTTACGGGTCCGAATTAAAGCGGAGTTGGAGAAGGAGGTTTCACGCACAACAGTTGGAAATATGGAATGATCAATACAGAGACGAAGGTATTTCACCCGCGGTATGCTTTTCAGATGTTTGAAGTAGACCAAGAAGGACTGATGAAACAAACTTCAACCCCTTTTACACCAGGACAATGGGTTGGTCTACAAAAAGCACACGCTCATGCTTGGCGAAGTGCAACAGTTGCGGGAGAAACTTGCATCTAATAGGTGTCATGACTGCGATGGGAATGGTATCGTGCAAGACCAAACGTGTTTCTTGAAGGGACAGTAGCGTGAGTAATGCCATTCTCCGCATTTCCAGCATACTGTGAGGGTCTCCTGGTGGTGGCTTCTTACGGCTTCCGGGTGGACAGTTACCGTGGCTTCGTGACAGCATGAACATTCTACGCAGCTCTTACCGAGCCATCTCACTCAACGATGCCTGTCATGCTTGTGGTTCTCGCGCCGCTGTCGTTCGTCTGTCAATGTCCGCAAATTGATATTAGGGTCTTTTTCGATGCAACTGAGTAGGCCAAGGCGTATTTATGCGTTTGCGAGCGACTGAAGTAAGCACAGGAATCAGGCATTTGAATTGGTCGTCAGCCATTGATCGCAATTTGAATTTCTCGCACTCCCGGTTCACCGTGCTGGCTAGTGTCAGATGGTCATCTGCAAAGGAATACCGCGGAAGTATTCAAACCTATTGCGGTCGATGTACCTGCATACTTACTGGTAGCGTAAGGGTGTACGGCGGGTTAAGCACATCGTTCAAAACAGGGAGCGGCGTTCGTCAAGGGCGCTCTTTTTGCTAATCCGGTTAAATTTTGTGGCAGACGGAATACTGCAGAAAGCACTCAGTGGTCTCCAAGATGTTGGTATTGAATGGGCAGCTATAGAAATGCTGTGCTATTTAGAGTACGCTGATGACATCGTTTGTCCGTTTGAATGTCTGGAGGATGCACAAAGCGCTCCTGACAAACTTTCGAGTTCTGTAACTTCATTCGGTATACTCTTTACACCTTCAAAACGCAAAGTGATGCTACAAGATTGGGTGTCGTCTATCCCGGAAATGATGCTTGATGGTCAAGAATTAGCTATAGTGGAATGTTTGTCCTACTTAGGTAGCTGCGTGACATATGACGGTAGCATAGTCAATGAAGTAACCGCCCGCATTTCCAAGGCTCGAACAGCTTACGCAGGACTGAAATACCTTTGGTGCAGATGTGATGTTTCGTTGAAACTGAAAGGTCGTGTATACTGCGCCGGCGTGCGATCAATTCTGTTTTTCGGTTGTGAGACCCTAAATTTGCATTTGGAAGATATTCTTCGTCTAGAAGTGTTCCACTGCCGACGTTTACGTAGTTTGGCGTGGTTTGGATGGAGCGCGCGTGTAGGCAACTCTCAGGTAAGTCATGGAGTATTTGGCAATGATTTGATAGATAGTTTGTTGTCCCATCGAATTCAGATTAGTCGGCTTTGCTCGTTAGGACACATTGCGCATGCCCAGTCATCGTCTGCCACACCGCACTTAATTCGCAGTTGCGGCTCCAGATTGGAAGAAACCGCGTAGAGGTCAACAGATGACGTGGAAACGAGGCATGAGGAAATGCACAGAGTGATTATGTAGGATAGGTGTCTCCCGTCTTCCAGGTTGGGGTCCAAAAGACTCTGCAATTGGTAGGTTGGAGACAATAAAGGATATGGCAACTAACCGACAATAGTTACGTTCTTATTGTAATTTCTTATCAGTTAAGAATGCTTGAAGAGATTTATATACACTGTTGGATTGTGTTGACCATAGAGGTTCATTTTCTGTGCCTCCCTCCAATTAGGTCCAACCCTTCTCCATCTTTACTTTATCACTTGATTTGTATACATTGTGAGCAGGGCAGCGATCAGTTGTCTCGTTGATGATGATGAGTCATGTGCATCACTTTTTGCCAGGTTGATGGAGTGATAACGGATACAGAACACAGACGCCTTTTCACCAAACGTGTCTGAAAGTTGTTGGACTGTTTCTTCGAAGGTGAAATCACGTGAAATTTTGGAGAGGATCATGTCTGTGTGACGGCCACGTTCTTTGGTTCCCAACTTTGGGAGCAATAATAGCATCTTCCATTCATCATCGGCCTCCGAAAATTGGACCCGGAAGACATATTCCAGACTTTCGAACCAGGAATCAAATATCGTTCCTGTGTCGAGGTCATACACGAATTCAGTGATGCTGCCGGCAACAGCATCAATAGATGTGGACTGTGTAACCGGTGTTGCTGGATTGGGATGCGTACTGAGACGCTGCAACATGGTGTCCATCAACCTTAGGTGTATGGCCTCAAGTGGCACCTGCTGCTGTTTAAGAACTGTTTGTAGCTACTCTGGTGTGATCGACATGGTGGATCCGTGAATTGTCCCTCTGCCTCGGCATATATGGACACGAGCGACTTGCTCAATCCCCCATAACAACTTGGGAAGAGAACACAACTCGAAACAACCGTCAGCGTGTATTCCATGACCAAATATATAGGGTAAGGCACGCATACGAGAATGGCGCAGTATCACATCAATCAGATTGCGCCCTTGACATTTCGAGTGGTCAACCAGACAACCACTGGCTAACTCGTTCTGCAATCATCCAATCCGGACTCGGCCACCGAACGCTACGGGTCCGCCGTGGTTTGATCGGGAACTGCAGAGATGCCCGTCGCAGCGACGCAAAGTGTGGTCCAGTTACCACGAGACGGGTACGGGATGTGAAAAATACCAGTGTCCTGCGCTGAAGAAATTCAAGCGGACTCTATTCGAGCAACATCTTGGAGTGGATGAAATACGTGCACCAATGCGGCTGTGTGCCTGTTACAGGTGGCAAATCAGAAATACTCTTGGCTTCCCGAATCTCGTCAAATACGCGGTGGTTGTTTAAAGCGACTAGGACAAAGCCGCGATGTTGCATCACATTATGCTCCGGTTGTGACGGGAGCTCAAATTATGCCGCAGCTCGCTCGCATTGGGTGTCACGTGACTGGTCGGTCTGGCTATCGACCTTACCAGTATCGATAGGCCTAATGATTACTGATCTGTATTTTACCCATTCACCCTGTAAATCGTGTTCGCATAATTACAGTCAGCCCGTTCCAGTTCAGTGGCTTGTGTTCTTCCTTGCCAGAGGCGTACAGTTATAACACAGGTGTTTTCCCAAGAAACCGGTCTGTCTCCATATCCACTGGGCGTTGACAGTGCTTCTTATTGGACTCTCTTTACCATTGGTGAAGTTGCCTCCGAGCTGCTTCGGCTGAAAGTTCACCAGTCACCTGGACTTGATGATGTGCATTCTTTTATCCTGAGAGAGCTGACAGACTAACTTGCAGTGCCGTTGTTCAACCCGTCCAGTCTTTTTTACACGGATGTCTACCGCGGCAGTCGAAGGATGCTGTCTTTGTGTCATTACCCAAAGTGTGGCAATTTAGATCCCATAGCCAGTCGGAACTGGAGGATGACTAAATATTTTGAGGTGTTCATCTGATGACCTGTTTTCACAAAGTGAACAAAATGCAGTAATGAAGATTGAATGACAGCATACATTTTTTACCACACCGTTGTGCCAGGAAATGAAGAACGGATGAATGCTTCAGCCACCATATAGAAAATACCGTTGGGTTATGGAATTCAGTAATCTAAACCCGGGAATTCGATGAAGGAATCAGATAAAGCCCCGATAGGATAGATGCGGTTCTGAGCCTGACGATGGCGAGGCTGCCTATCATCAAGTTTAGGTGGAGGTAATAGTGTTCTAATCCCTGATCTCAAGGACCAAGCAGGTCAATGATAACGATGCGAACCTCTTGGACAGCACATTGAACTGTAGTATAAGCAACGTATTATAACTAATACGGCTGCACAGGAACTACATATCTAATGAACTTGGTTTCCTTCTTGTGAAATTGTTTTCGAGGTCTGGTTTGCTTATCAAAAGTATAATTTTCTCCTGAAAAGCGTTGGCAACACAAATCAGCTGTCATCTGATGTTTTTCGCTCAGTCAGGCTAGGAGCCTATGTACAGATCGCGAATCACGATGGAGATCACTATCTGATGAAGCTTCACATGGATGCCATAATGTCTAGAAACGACATGGACCGAACTAACGTAAATTACCTTAGGTGACTCAAGAGGTGAGTGATGAATCCCGTGATAGAACACAGATTCATGGTACTTGAATGCATGTGGCAGGATGAGCCAAGTATATTTCAAAAGGAACACCGGATTAAATAAACTTGATGAGCATTATTTGTTGATTTGCCAATGACGGTGTATTATATGTCGCAGTAATCAAGTGACTCGTCCTTACAACCAACAACTGAGCACCACTGACATGTAAACCGGATACGTGTAAGAGGTTGAATGGATCATTGAGTCCTGCATCATGAACCGGTCGAATCGACAAAAGGAGATGAGCTTTATGCTATTTATCTTGTAATTCAAGTTGTATTTCGAAAGACTGATTTTTATTTTTACTTATACCTGCCTTGAGATTTAGCTTTGCGGGACGTATTGGTCTTTATCAAACACAGTTGACGTATGAGTGC